TCAGAGTTAATATTTAAAAATGAGGCCAATTTAGTATCCCTGCTGGCTTCTCTCAAAATATTATATGAAATGAGAGCATTATCACCTTCATCACGATCAGAGGCTTTTACTGAAAATACTGAGGCTCCGGGAATGTTATTCTCGGTGATATAAAATACATATGGACTTGACAAAAACCGTGGACTGTTGTCATTTACATCTGATACTACTATGCTTATGGTCTTTTCAGTTGAAAATACAGGGTCTCCTGTGTCTTTTGCAATAATTGTGACATCAAATTGTGAAATAATTTCCCTGTCTAACTGCGACCTGGTTACAACCGCATACATGTTTTCTTGTAATGATGGAGATAACGTAAAGGGGACATCTTCTTTGATTATGCAAATTACTTTACCATTGATTCCAGAGTCTAAATCACTGACACTAATCAGGGCCACTGTAGTTCCTATCTTTGAATCCTCCTTGATAGAGCTAGAAAAAGATGTCACTTCTATCTCGGGTGCATTATCATTCACATCAATAACAGTTATCATCACACTTTTGTCAGTTGTTAGAGGAACTGGTCCCTTATCAGACGCCTGAATGTCAATTTCATAACTTTTACTTTCCTCAAAATCTATCTGACCGGTCACTTTAATTTCACCAGTGTTTGCGTCTATACTAAAGACATCCATTAATTTTGAATCAACTTCGTTACCAAATGAGTATATAATTTCGCCATTTGCACCCTGGTCCAAATCTGTTGCATTCACCTGAATCACTAAAGTCCCAACAGGAACGTTTTCTTTAAGTGTAGCAGAATACAGCTCATTGGTAAATACCGGGGAGTTGTCATTAACATCAAGGACATCCACAATTATTTCTATAGAGCCAGACTTTGCTGGTTTTCCTCCATCAGCGGCTATTAAACGTAGCTTAAGTTTACCGGCTGTCTCTCTATCCAGCTGCTTCTGCAGAACTAAAAATGGCACTTTACGGTCCTCGCCTCTGTCCTTCACTTCTAATCTAAAATATTCGTTATGGCTGAGTTTATATTGCTGAATGGAGTACTGGCCTACATCGGAGTCGCGCGCAGCCTGTAGTTGAAATCTCGCTCCTGGTAAGGCCGACTCAGAAATCTCAAGCCTTTTCTCTTTCTCAGGAAAAACCGGCGAGTGATCATTTACATCAAGTATTTCCACTGCCACGTAGTGGATCTCCAGCGGGTTTTCTAGCACGGTTTTCAGATTTATCAAACATGGACTGCTCCGGTCGCACGCCTCCTCCCTGTCTATTCTTCTTTTCACATACAAGATGCCATCATTTTGATTCACGTGAAACAGGGGTTCAGTTGAGCCTGTTACAATGCGATATCCTCTGTCTTTGAGTGCACTCTTATCTAGTCCCAAATCCTTGGCTATATTCCCGACGACGGTTTCATCTTGAACCTCCTCAGATATCGAATATCTTATCTGTGCAGAAGCTCCGCTCCATAGAATATCCAAAACCACCATGAAGGCAAACCAACACTGTCGCTCTCTACATCCTCTTTGTTCCATGACTTGAAGGCGATAAAACACAGTCCAGTACTAAATACGTCGTGATGTCAATGAGACTTAATGCCTCATGTTCCTAAACGATGCCACACATCTGTTTTTACAAAACTGCTGAAAATAAAGAGACTCGCTGCTGCCAATCGCGGTGTTACGCTCAGGTATGATGTTTGAGAAAAATGCAAGGGCTCGGTCGAAACACAGCTCGTGACGTAAAGTGCTACCAGATGCACAGAATCACTGAACTGCACTGACACCAAGCGTTGATATATTTAGTTACATAGATGTTTAGAGGCAAGATATCCCAACATTGGAAAGGCACATGTTCCCACTTTGGCCTTTCTCTTTGCATTGCAGGCAATCTAAAACAATACATCCAATGGAGGATATAACTCTCAACATCATGAGTAAATACATTGTAAAAAAAAAACATATCATACAAGCACCATTCAAAATACACAAAATCCAATGACAAAGCACCACTATCAAAACAAAAAAAAAATTATTTCAAGTTTGTTGCAGTGCAAAGAAATTACAAAGTTCGTAACGGTTTAAAATGCTGGTTGAATGTCAGGAAGGTGTAGCTACCCTGTAGAGAGAAATATCACCACCAGAGGGTCCTTCTTCTCTCTGATAATGATGACAAAACCTTTTACTCAAAGGGGGATGGGGAAATAAAAACAACCAAAACATCTTACCTCTCCAGATGCTCTCTGTCAGAAGTCACAGTGATCGCATGGCTGCCTGGCACTATAGTAAAAATCCTAATAAAAAATAACATAATAGTTCCACTAACATAGTCCAAGATGCATGGACACAGTTCCGGATAATAGATCTTGGTAAGATATTAGAATAATCCTGTATTTAGAGCACTGCATGCAAAAAGATATACGATGAGAAAAAGTATGAAACTAAAAGGAAAGAGCAAAGTTATCATCGAAGAAATCACATCATTCATCTAAATACATCAAAGCAAAGCTCTTTGGCTCCACAAGTTCAATCCAGTACTGTTGCTGAGAGTGAAAAAGTTCAATTTCACCAGTATGACCAGTTTATGCTCGGCCCTCGTCTGTCCTGTGAAGAGCGAAGCTGTTTCCTGACTGTCCCTCTGTTAGCGGTCAAAACAAAGAGAACTGTGTCAGTCACTTCCTGCAGTGAAAACAGTAACAGCCGTTATATCCTATATTCAGCGCATAGTCGACTTAGTCACCAAAGTGTCCTGCGTTCGATTGCCGGGGAACTCTCCACACCTCAGCAGAACGTTGGACTGACTGATAACAGGATTTCTGAGCGTGATCGTCTGTCCAGATGAACACGTTCACATGTGAAGTGTGCTGCTTAGGACGGAGTCAGAATCTGAGCAACCAAACTTGAACTGGAAGTTTTAGTGTTTCAAAATCAAAACTTTTTAGTGCAAAATATCTCCATTTTCAGAGTTTATGTTTAGAAAGGAGGTAAGCAGATTTTCTCCTCCCTTATTTCTTAAAATATGATACGAAATAAGAGCATTACTTCCCTCGTCATCATCACGGGCTGTCACCGACAAAATAGACGCTCCCGGGTTGTTATTTTCAGTTATGTAGAAAGTATACGGGTTCTGTAAAAACACTGGGCTGTTGTCATTCACGTCTGATACAACAATGTTTATAGTTTTGTCAGACGTTAGGGATGGTTCACCTGCATCTTTAGCAACAATTGTTACTTCATATTGTGACTGCTGCTCTCGATCCAAAAGTGATTTAGTGACCAGAGAATACATGTTATTTTGTAACGATGGAGTGATTGTAAAAGGAAGGTCTCGGTTTATGTAACACAAAACTTTTCCGTTGAGACCGGAGTCCGAATCTTTGACACTAATCAAAGCCACTGTGGTTCCAGGTTTTGAATCTTCCGGGAGCGCATGTGAAAAAGATGTCACTTCAATCTCTGGGGCATTGTCATTCACGTCAACAATATGTATAATAACGCTCTTGTCTGTAACTAGTGTAGCTGCACCTTTGTCGGATGCCTGGATGTCAATTTCGTATCTGCTGCATTCTTCAAAATCTATAGACCCTGCCACAGTAATTACTCCAGTCACTGAATTTAAATTAAAATGTGCACGTGCGCGTGCATCCATGTCATTGCCGAATGAATATACAACCTCACCATTTGAACCCTCATCCAAATCTGTTGCATTAACCTGAATAACAGTTGTACCAAGAGGAGAATTTTCTTTCAGCTGCACTGTATAGGAATCCTGAGTGAAAACTGGGGGGTTATCATTAACATCGGAAACATCAATAATTATTGTGACGTTACCGGACTTTGGAGGTTTACCCCCATCAATGGCCGTCAGAAGTAACACATGGGTTTTGACAGATTCTCTGTCCAGTGGCTTTTGAAGAATTAAAGTAGGGGTTTTGCGGTCTTCGCCGCGATCTTTGACTTCCAACCGAAAATGTTCATTATGACTCAACCTGTACTGCTGAACGGAAAATGAACCACTGTCAGCATCACGCGCAGCTTGCAACTGAAATCGTGCTCCTGGTAATGCAGATTCTGAAATTTCTAACATCTTCTCATTTTCGGGGAAGCTCGGTGCATGGTCGTTTACATCCAAAATCTCCACTGCTACATAGTGGACCTCCAGGGGGTTTTCTAACACGGCTTTTAAGTCGATTACACAAACCTTGCTTCGTTCACATACTTCTTCTCTGTCAATTTTTCGGTTCACATACAAGATACCGTCGTCTTGATTTACTCGAAAAGGAGGCTCTGTCGTACCATACACAATGCGGTAACCCCTCTCTTTCAGTGTGGTCTTATCAAGACCTAAATCCTTAGCAATATTTCCAACAATGGTTCCTTCTTTCACTTCCTCAGAGATGGAATATCGGAATTGTCCCGAAGCTCTGCTCCAAAACGTAACCAAAACCATCATACAGGCAACCCACTTTGTCTGCTCCCTCCATGCCTGGCGCCGTCTTTGTTCCATGATGTGAAGATGAAACATTTAAAATAAAAACAGATTTCAATGCGCTATAATGATGTAAAATCCTCCGTCACATTCGTTGCCATAATCCAACCGTTCTCCAACAGAACAATACAATTTCTTAAAGCTAAATTGTATATTCAAGCCGTCAGCACGGAAAAGGTTCGTCAGTGATGGGTTTTAGAGGAAAGGGATTGGTCTTGTGACTATGACGAGAACATGTGGAAGCATTATTTGATATTATACTGACACCAAGTGATCGAGAACCACACTGCAGTACTATATTTAACATAATAACAAAATGTTTTTAACAATGGAAAAACGGCTTCTCCGGCCGCCACATACAAAGCACAGTGAAAGTAAAATACACATTCCTGAGACAGATTGTGAATGGGAACATTAACTAATGCATTGCACTATATAACCATTATTACCATGCTTCAAATGAGCCTTTCGCGTTTTGCCCAGTAAAAGGGACTCGCTAAACAATGTTTCAGCACCACGGACAGCGACAACATGCACTCTGCCAAACCAGGGCATTTTTAGGAGTACACCATGGATACTATTGTATTTGTGAAAGTATTTATTCTGGTACAAATATCATTATTTAATTCAGCAGGGAGTTAAATGAAGGGAAAACAGTCCAGCCATCTGGGTACCAGACATCCTAAGCTATGATAGAGCCAATTAAGGCACAGCAGCTCTCCTTGCACAGATATTACAACTCAGTTTGCATTCGCATCTTGTTGCTATTGAAACTTGCCAGTCAACATAACTCATGCACACTACTTGCCACACTTTCTCACTGATATCAGCTTAATATCAACATTTTCACAAAACAAGCTAAATGTAAGGTTAATGTAATCTGTAAAATATTAGTCTGATAAATGTATGAAAGCAGGCTCTTCCCATTTATATTATAAGGGTGTTTGTCATGAAGTAAGACAGGATTGTTTGCTTCATATCAGTGGACATTAATCAATTAGATCAGAAAACGATTAGTGATAGGTTCACAAACGTAAAACTCAAGTGCATGTAATTAAATTAAAATGTATAAATCTGGGCTAATGTTATATACACAAAATTAGACTAAAAACTTACAGTAGAGAAAGAGTCAAACTATTGATCTTACCTCTCCAGAACCCCTCCTCCTGTCAGGGAGCACTA